CGCAGTTCTTTTGGTTTTTATTCAGATGTTTTAAAAAGTTGTTTTTATGAAAGCTACCATAACGTTGCTTAGTTGTTGTGATGAGGTTTAAAAACACACCGTTCTCCTTTCATAGCCCTTTTTTCTACCAAGGAATCTCTGATCAGCCAATGCTTTAATATGAACTGTTGCACCGGATGAAAAAAAACTTGGAACAATTGATGTAAATCAGTCACTTCAGGATTGTCGTCCAAATCCTTGAATGACTCTACATTCCACAAATGAACAAGCTGCCCAGAGTCAAATGAAAAAAAAAGTGATACTTACTTTTCTCCAATGATGAAGCGTCACCTGTGATCTTTCTTTCCTTGCAGTATAATAGTGTAACTTGATGCTTCTTTAGCACAGAACAGCAGGAATCCTATTGGGCAAAAAAAACCCCTCCAGAACACAGAGACGATGCCACATAAACAAAACTAAATGCCATTTTCACTTCAAAAATGGAGTTCCTACATTTTGAAAGATGGTACATTTCTAGGATAAGGAACTCCAATCCTACAATCTCTGACGGTAACTGACTAAGAGCTATAGATGTATTTGACAGAACACTAATATCTAAAGATGTGCAATCCATCATCACTTTTGTATTCAATAAAACAGTGGTGGCCCATATAAATGATTTCTTCTGGTGGAAAATCTGGACCAGTTTGACTTGAGTGATAAGGTAATGTTAGTGCTGCAATGGCAAATTGTTCAACAATGAAGTTGTAACAACCATTTTGAATGAATATGTGTAAGTTGATGCATATTGTCAACACAGATATTCAATGCTTCTTTGATGGTGGCCCAAAAGAATGATTTCTGACTTTATTGGACAGCATAATCCATTAACACACATGTCTGACTGCCTGTTTCAAAATATGAAAACACAAGTTTCCAACTAAGTGAGAGGCTGAAAGCTTGGGAGAAATCCTACGATTATACATCAATTTAATAGTTAGTGACGTGCGACATCACCCACTCACTGCTTATATGAAATTTACCAAAAGTCTCCTTAAAATCCATGTGTATCATGTCAGTGCCATTTTCATGTTCTTACTGTGATAATTTGGAGGAAAAAACACCTCTGGCAAGTTAGGCAAGCATTCCTGACTCCTTCCAGAATCCACACAGACTGTTAAAAGAAAACTGCATTTCGTCCACTGGGTAGCCCAAAATCAGGTGATACAAAGGAAAAAATACCAATACAAAATTAGCAACTATGTGATATCTGTTTTAAGAGGATCATATTTCAATTTAAAGGGAATGGAAAGGAGAAACCAGTTATTTACTGCAACAGGCTACAGTGTGATTTTATTTTTCTGTTTATTCATCAAACTAATTAGACGCCTTTGTGTAATGAACTCCTGTCACAAACAGGACGGAGAAAATAGAGACAGAGGAGACGGGGAGAAAGAGAAAGAGAGAGAACAAAATAAAGAGGAAGAGAACTGTCAGACATGATTTATTCCATGCAGACTTTGTGGATGATTTTTTTTCTTGCCTTTGTGAGTCAGGCAACATCACACAGGGGACTGCAGCACTCATAGCAACGGCAGGCAGGCTGGTTTCCTTGGCAGTACACAACACAATTCACTACATTCTTACAAGTCAAACAGGGTTGGAGGTCACCACTGCCTGTACTATTCAATGCAGTCTCAAAGCGATGTAACATTCAACCAATCTGCATTACATCACAACAGTATTTAATTAAAGAGCTGGTAAAAAGATAGCAGAGTACTACATGCTTGCATATAGCAAAGGGACCACAGCTAAACAGCCTTTATCGAACAGGAATGTACTGAATCATTGAAATTAAAGGTATAGATTTGTGTCACTGAAGATATTACGGATCTAATACCAACATACTCCTCAGCACTGCTGCTGTACATTTTCTGTAGTAACACAATAGGGTGCTGTTAATGCCATTTCATCTACTCCGATTCCAGAGCATTTTACCTCAATGCACCAGTTGCACCCTGTCCTCAGGTAGGACTGAATTTAATACACTAAGGCAAAGAACTGCACATACTGGAAATCCGAAACAAAAACAAAGTGTTGGAGAAGCTCAGCAGATCTGGCAGCATCTGTGGGGAGAGAAACAGTTAACACTTCGAGTCCAGTGACCCTTCTTTCACTAGATCTGAAACATTAACTCTGTTTCTCTTTCCACAGATACTGCCAAACCTGCTGAGTTTCTCTAGTGGTTCCTGTCTTTTTTTCTGAATTTAATGCAGCCTGATACGACAGGAAGTCTGGTGGCTAGGCCCATTTCCTCATGGGCGGGACACTCCATATCGGTCTGCCAGTGGCAGCAAAGTCCCCTCTGATTACGGTCAGGGTGGAAGGAGCTGGCAAGCAATTCCTAGTCTTGGAGTCAATGGACACCCATTAGACTTGAACCCACTGCGGTTTGGTGCCAGCTGAGGGATTAACTTGAGGGTGGGGTTTCCCACATTCTCAGAAACCCATGCAGCAAACCAATCCCCAGCTGGGGGGAGATGAGGAGAGAATCTGTCATGGGCGGGCAATCTGTGCCTGGTCAAGGGACCTGGCATTGGGCTGGAGGTGTCACATGAAAGCGGGCAACTGTCCTTGCTTCTGTGCCCAGTACCCGACTCCTGTCTTCACACCTCTAGCCTGTGGTCTTAAAGATCCTGGGCCTATGCTGCAGGCTGCTCACACAGTCAGCTCTCAGCAGGTGGGGCTTCCACAGGCCAGGGCACAAATCACAAGGAAGGACATGATTCTGTTAGGGTTTACCCATGTGCTGGAAGTGAACTGACTGCATTTTTCCCACTTTCTCCGTGACTGACGGGTGAGACTCCTACCAGTCTAACATACCCTATCGCTTCAGTGTCCACCTGTGCTGTCCATCTGCTGAGGTCACGAGATGGGTTGCCAGATGTAGACTGGGGCAAAAGACACCAGAGCCTCCACCTTCCAAACACACAACCACTTCCATCTAGAAGGACAAGGGCAGCAGATACATGGGAACACCACCACCTCCAAGTTCCCCTCCAAGTCACTCACCATCCTGACTTGGAAATATATCACCGTTCCTTCACTGTTGCTGGGTCAAAATCCTTGAATTCCCTCCCTAATAGCATTGTGCGTCAACCCACAGGTGGACTGCAGTGGTTCACGAAAGCAGCTCACCATCACCTTCTCAAGGGGCAATTAGGGATGGGTAAGAAATGCTGGTCCAGCCAGTGACGACCACATCCCACAAATCAATAAATAAAAACACAAAGAATGAGGCAAATTCCTAGATTCACAGGCAAGAATTATAAGGAAAGTTTGAGAAACTGGCTTATCATCATCTCGATCTCATATAAGGTAATAAATGCTATGGAAAGGTAAATCTAGAACAATAATCAAATTGCATTCACTGCAGCATAGCCTTACTCTAACAACACAGATCTAGAAATGTGGCAGCAGAGAGGAGGCCATTCAGCCCACCATGCTGGTCTGGCAGAGCTATCCAATTCACGTCCCACTCTTTCCCCACAGCCCCCGAATAATTTTCATTTTAAAATATTTATCCATTGCCCTTTTGAAACTTCTGATTTAAATCTGCTCCCTCCACCTTTCCAGGCAGCATACCTCTGATGGTAACATCTCCCTGTGTAATCAAATATTTCTGTGGCGTCTGGCGTTGGAAGACACATCAGCCATGATCGAAAGGCAGGGCAGTGTTGATGGGCTGAATGGCTTAATTCTATTCCTAGATCTTATGGTCTTGTGGATAACCTCTGTTTCTTTTGCCAAATGTCTTAAAACTGTTGCCTCTAATTACCAATCCTTCTGTCATTTGTAACAGTTTTTCTTTGTTTATGGTTAAAAATTCTACAAGATTTTTTAACAGTTACCAAACCTCCCTTTCATCTTCCTCATTCAAAGGAGAATAACCCAGTTTTTGCTAGTCTCACCAAGTAACTAATTTGCTTGTCAAATTTCTTTTTTCCTTTCAATTCACTAAAATCTCCTTTTCAAAGCTCTGATGTCCAAGGTGTGATTAATGTAACAAATTCAACTGGGCTAAACCAATGCTTTATAACAATTTAACTTAAGTTTTCTGTCTTTGCACTCTGTTTACGAAGTTAAAAGGCTTGCGAGCCTTTTTAGCAGCCTTCTCAACCAGTCCTGCACCTTCACTGACTGTTTGATGGACACACCAGGTTCACTGCACCTCCTTTAAAAATGCACTAATCAGATTATACTGCCACTCCCCAGTTTTTCCACAAAACTGAATTAGGAGTCAGTTTACTTTTACGCTGAATTAATTTGTGGGATCTTGAGCCACAGGGCTGGTCTGAAAGTGGGATGGAATCTTCTATCTAAGATCTCCCTGTGTACAGTGGTCTGGATGAGCAGCTCTGAACCAGTCCTTGAAGGTTCCTCACACAGGGACACCACAGGGTAAGTGCAGTCACCTCCTGAAGTCTTTAACTATCGATAAATGTCAACAGGTCACAGTTTATTTAAGATCAAAAGGCATCATTTCTCTATGAAATGCTCATACCAAATAGTCCCAACTGAAGGGGTTTTTTTTCCCCATATGCTTAATTTTACTTTGTATGAAAAAAATTTCTATTTAAATAAAAACAAAAGGCTGGAGATCTGAAATAAAGGCAGAAAGTATTGGAGACTCTCAGCAGGTTCACAGTGTCTACGGACAGAGGAACAGAGTTCTGAAGAAATAGTCATGTTGGGCTGTTTCTCGATCCAGAGACTGCTAAAACCTGTGCAGTTTTTCCACAATGTTTGGATTTTATTTTAAACAGTTTTTTCTTCCACATTTTATTCATTTACTTTTTCTGCCATGCTCTAATTATAACATTTCTTCTTAGATATCTACACCCGGGACAGAGAAGCTTGTAACAAGGTGCTAACTATAAAATGCCGAGATGGTGGGACTGAGGTCATTTCGCTGGACAATTAATCCTGAACCTTAGTATCAGGACCTGAGAACATGGACCTCAAACTCATAGAAAATGTTCACATTTGAATCTAGAAAATATCTGGAATTTAAAACTAATGGTGACCATGCAATTATTTTTGTAAAAACCCACCTGGTTCACTAATGTCTTTTAGAGAAGGAAACTGCTATCCTCACCTGGTCTAACCCTTGTGTGACTCCAGAGCATTTGCAATAGCACTGACCCTTAACTACCCTCTGAAATGACCTTGCAAGCTACTCACGGGCAATTGAGGATGGAGAACAAATGCTGGCTCAGGCACTAACACCTACATTCCCCGTGAAGTAATATTTAAAAAATGATCAGCCAGTTTAAGAAACAATGTTCCATCATTAATAGCAGAGGGTCTACATATTCCCCCAGGATTTTGAGACCTAGACTGAAGGTTGATAAGTTCCAAAAGCAGAACCATACTGAGATTCGCAGCCTCATTGTCATCTCTGAAGTCTCACCTCAGCTGGGTAGATCAATTGGATCCTCACTACCTTCAGGATCGATTCAAGCCAAGAATGGGCGGGTCAATGGCAGGGACAGTCTGGGCAATGAATTTCAAAGGATTTAACTCGCCATTGATCCAAACTTGCCAGCCTTGTCTAAAATCTTTAAAATTACTCTCAATGTCTCTAAAAGTCTCCCCATCACCACTGCAAGCTTCTCCTTACAGTGATCAAGATGCAGAATGAACTTCAACACCAGGAAAGGAAGGCAGAGTTATCTGAATTATTTTAAAATCATAGTTGGAATTTGCAATAGGAAACTAAGACAGATTTTTCTGAACTGAAATGGATGGAGAGAATTTCCTCTCCTGTATCTTGTGATTTTATTCACTGGGAAGAGAGAAAGAAAAATCATGGACAACAAGGTGTAGAGCTGGATGAACACAGCAGGCCAAGCAGCATCAGAGGAGCAGGGGAGCAGGAAAGCTGACGTTTTGGGTCTAGATCCTTCTTCAGAAATGGGGGAGGGGAAGGGGATTCTGAAATAAACAGGGAGAAAGGGGGAGGCAGATAGAAGATGGATAAAGGAGAAGATAGGTGGAGAGGAGACAGACAGGTCAAGGAGGCGGGGTTGGAGCCAGTAAAGGTGAGTGTAGGTGGGGAGTTAGGGAGGGGATAGGTCGGTTGAGGGAGGACGGACAGGTCAAGGAGGTGGGATAAGGCTAGTAGGTAGGAGATGGGGGTGGGGCTTGAGGTGGGAGAAGTGGATAGGTGGGAGGATAGGTTAGGGAAGCGGGGACGAGCTGGGCTGGTTTTGGGATGCAGTCGGGGGAGGGGAGATTTTGAAGCTTGTGAAGTCCACATTGATACCATTGGGCTGCAGGGTTCCCAAGCGGAATATAAGTTGCTGTTCCTGCAACCTTCGGGTGGCATCGCTGTGGCACTGCAGGAGGCCCAGGATGGACATGTCGTCCAAGGAGTGGGAGGGGGAGTTGAAATGGTTTGCGACTGGGAGGTGCAGTTGTTTGGTGCGAACCGAGCGTAGGTGTTCCACAAAGCGGCCCCCAAGCCTCTGCTTGGTTTCCCCGTCGTAGAGGAGGCCACAACGGGAACAGCGGATACAGTACATGACATAAATCATGGCAGTTTAATCAGAGAAAATTATCTCTCCTGTTTGAAGGCACAGACCACAGTTCTACCTTTGCCCTCAGTTTTTCAATTCACAAGGCAACTTCAGAGTACAATAAATATGCATGAATAAACCATTCAGCACCAATAAAATAATGGCCCATTCAAAAAAGGGAGGCCTGTAAACTGTATAACAAAATTTTCTTATTTATAGAGGAATCAAAATCTCCAAATATCATAACCAATCCTACACCTTAAAAATATTGTTAATAGGTCAAGTGAACTTATTCTGTGAAATAATGGAATAGGTATCCTAAACCTGAGAGCAAGAATCAACTATTTAAAAATACCATTAACATAGTTGTGGCAAGTACATATTTAAATGGGTAATGGCTATTCCTGTTCAAATGCATTAGATGTAGTGCCTTTATCTACCAATAGATGTCACCAGTGCACATTTTAATCAAGATCAATAAACATCTCGATACAAATACTAATCAGAAAAAAATCCTAACCACGGGGGTTTCTTTCATTTTCCGAATTTTAGTTTTGCAAACAAACCTCCCATTTGTCTTTTTACACTTTGCACCCTCCTGCTACCTATCTTCAACAGGGCACAGTAAAGGTTAATATCATGCAACTGCAAAATGACCAGCATTCCTGTGAGAAATGGAGGAGGATCTAAATTTTCTTCCCTTTCCCAACAAAGAAAAATAAAGAGACTTGATTTACTTCTGCCATGGCACCTCACCAAGAACTAATTAAACCCTATGATCGAGCAGAAGGATCCCTGGGGCAAATTGATAATCGGGTGGCCCAGACTCAAACACTTCAGTGTCACCTCAAATTGAACTTGCTTTCTCAGACAATGTTTCATTTATTCGCGCATATAGTTGCTGCTTATACTACCCATAAAATATTGTGTGGAACGTATTATTACACAGTTCAGCTACTTTTTTGGCTCTTTTGGAGGACAGGTATTTTTGGCTTTTGTTTATCAGGCCCTACTTACAGGTGAACAATATTCATAGAACATAGAACAGTACAGCACAGTACAGGCCCTTTGGCCCACGATGTTGTGCCGAACTTTTACCCGAAACCTAAGGTCTATCTAACCTCCACCGCTACCTTATACTATATGCCTATCTAATAGGCACTTAAATGCCCCTAATGAGGCCGACTCCACTACCCTCTCTGGCAATGCATTCCACGCCCCTACCACTCTCTGAGTAAAGAACCTACCTCTGACATCTCCCCGATATTTACCTCCTTTCGCTTTAAAACTACGTCCCCTCGTAAAAGCTACCACCACCCTTGGAGAAAGTCTCTGGCTGTCCACTCTATCTATACCTCTGATCATTTTGTACACCTCTATCAAGTCACCTCTCATCCTTTGTCGTTCTAAAGAGAAAAGCCGTAGCTCTCGCCACCTTTCCTCGTAAGACCTTCCCTCCATTCCAGGCAACATCCTGTTAAATCTCCTCTGCACCTTTTCCAACGCTTCCACATCTTTCCTGTAATGAGGTGACCAGAACTGGACACAATACTCCAGATGTGGCCGAACCATTCCTAACAAGAGTTCAATTTCCTTACAACTAAGTAAATATTAAATCATTAACATTATTTACTATATATACTTATATGACGAAGAAAGTGAATATACTATCACCAGGTTTGCAGACACAAAAGTAGATGGGAAGGCAAGTGTTGAGGATGACATGAGTCTGCAGAAGGAAATAGACAGGTTGAGTGAGTTGGCAAAAACATGGCAGATGGAATGTAATGAAGGAAAATGTTAGGATGCACACTTTGGCAGGAATAGAGGCACTGAATGTAACTTAAATGGGTAAAGAAAGTTAAAAAGCCACAGTAACAGAGAGATTTGTGGGTCTTCGCACATACATTACATCTATGTTCAGAGGGTAATAGGGAAGGCTAATGGAACACTGGCTTTTATTTCAAAGGGAACACAGTATTAAAAACTATAGAAGATACTGGAATACTGTGAACTGGAATACTGGTTCCATTATGTCAGGAAAGATATCCTGTCTTTGAAGGCAACTGAAAGAAAGTTAATTAGGTTGATCCTGGGTATAGACAAATGGTCTTATGAGGAAAGGTTGGGTAGGTTGGCCTGTACTCATTGACTTTACAGAATGAGAGGCGGCTTTATCGAATTATACAAGATTTCTAGCTGAACTGTCAAGGTAGATGTGGAATGGTTCTGATAAAGGGTGAATGGACCTGAAACATTAACACAGCTTTCTCTCCGCAGATACTGCCAGACCCACTGAACTCTTCCAGCAATGTCTGTTTTTGTTACTGAATTTCAGCATCTGCAGCTGTTGATTTTTTTTTGGAAAGGTTGTTTCCCTTTTGACAAGAGCTTAGCACCAAAGGGCATAACCACCGAATAGGAAGTTGCCCAATTAGGACAGATATGAGGAGGGATTTCTTCTCTGAGGATAGTGAACATAAGGAATTCTACACTGCAGAGGACTGTTGAGAGAGTCATTAAGCATATGCAAGGCTTAAATATCAGATTTTAATCATGAAGGGGAATCAAGGGTTATGGGGAAAAGGCAGGAAAATGGGATTGAAGATTCAGATCAGCTATGGTCTTACCGAATAGCAGATGACTCAATAGGCTGAATAGCATACTTAAAGTCATGAGGTCATATCTGGACCAGAGAGTCTGCATCAACCTATCAAGATTTATGAAGTCACTACTACATGGAAACAGACCGTTCGGTCCAACTTGTCCATACCGACCAGATATTCTCAACTGATCTAGTCCCCTTTGCCAGCATTTGGCCCATATCCCTCTAAACCCTTCCTATTTATGAACCCATCCAGATGCCTTTTTAATGTAATTGTACCCAGCGACACTACCTCCTCTGGCAGCTCATTCCATACTCACACCACCCTGTGTGAAATAGGTCCTCGTGTCCTATTTAAATTTTTTCCCTCTCATCTTAAACCTATGCCCTCTAGTTTTGGACTGCCTTACCGTGAGAAAATGACCTTATCAATTCATCCTATCCATGCCCCTCATGATTTTACAAACCTCTGTAAGGTCATCCCTCAGCCTCTGACGCTCCAAGGAAAATAGCCCCAGCCTATTCAGCCTCTCCCTGCAGCTCAAACCCACCAACTCCTGCAGCATCCTTGTAAATCTTTTCTGAACTGTTTCAAATTTAACTCTTTTCAATATCAGGGAGACCAGAACTGAGTGCAGTATTCTTAAAGTGGCCTCACCAATGTCCTTTAGAGCTGCAACATGACCTCCCAAATCTTGTACTCAATGAAGGCAAGTATGCCAGACACCACCTTGACTACCCGTGACTCCACTTTCATCTACACTAATCCCACCTTCCAGCAGTTGGTCTATAGCCTCCAATGTTTTGACACTTCCTCATCCAAGTATATTTTAAAGGTTGTTACGTTTCCCACCACTACTTCCCAGTGCTTTCCACACCCCATCACACTCTATGAATATTTGTTCCTTCAAATCGCCGGTAATCTCCAGCCCTTCACCTTCAAATAATGCCTCCTCATTATCCACCGTGTCCATGCCCCTCATATAATCTTAAACATCACTAATATGCTCCAGTCTCAGCCTTATTTGCTCCAAAGTAAACAATCCAAGCTTATCCAGCCTCTCTTCACTGTTAACCTGCTCCATCCCAGGTAACATCCTGGTGAATCTTCTCCGTACCCCTTCCAGTGCAATCACATCCTTTCTATAGCGTGGTGACCAGAACTGCACACACTACTTGAGTTGTTTATGCCACAATTGACAAAGACAGATGTCCTGTATGTTGTCTTAACCACCCTATTAACCTGTCCTGCCACCTTCAGGGATCTATGGACAGGCACCCTAAGATCCCTCTGCTCCTCTGAGCTTTCTTGTCTCCTGCCACTCATTGAGTACTCCCTTGTCTTGTTATTTTTTCCAAATTACGTCACCTCATACCTTTTAGGATTAAGTTCCATGCACCACTGATCTGCCCATCTGATCTATATCTTCCTGTAACCAAGAGCTTCTTCCTCATTAAAACCTGGAAAATATTTATGTCATCTGCAAACTTACTTATCATCTACACACATCCTCATCTATATAAGGATAGGCAACAACACCTCCTCTGCTATAATCCTCAACAGTGGTGCCCCACAAAGCTGCGTACTTAGCTCCTACAATACTCCTTATACATTCACGACTGTGTGGCCAAATCCCGCCCCAACTCTATTTACAACTTCGCTAACGAGACCATCATTGTAGGTCGGATCTCAAACAACGAGACACAGCACAGGAAGGAGATAGAGTGCTTAGCGGC